CAGGCACTTTGTGTTTATCGGAGTCGGATTCAAGGGGCAAATGGGGCAATTACGTTCCTTTCGGTGCAGTGGTTGATCAGAGACCCCCCTGTGGTCTCTGAAAGGGGCTTACAGCGGCCGATGGGGTGCAGGTTTCTAACACAAAGCGAAAAGGGATGGTATCGGGCTTCCAAACGACCAGAAGGGTCACCAGCCAAGATAACGAACCAAGAACACGCAAAAAAGGCTGGGTCACTGAGAGAGCCAGGGTCAAACGTTAGAGGTACTTGCAGAGATTTTGATCTCGTTGTGCTATCCAGGGACTCTTACGCTTCGTATTTGCTCGCGATGATCTGTGCTGTTGTCAGGGGCCTGCACAAGCATCTGTCGGGCACTTTCGATCGCCCAAGAGACTCTCAATTGGCTCCCCCCCCCCCGCCCCCATTTGAGCTGAAGGCTGCACGCTGCTGCCATATGCTACCCCATATAGCCCTAAAAATTACTTTGCCTGGACCATTGCCATAGCCCTGGACCCTTCACATTCGGTTTAAGCCCTTCCCATTTGCTTGGAGGGCTCCACTGCATCTGGGGGTCTTATAAAATAGCTAACCGTCCAGGGGCATCCCCGTACTGACGGAAGGTCATCCCATTTGTTCCCGCTTGCAGAGGACTCTGTCCACTTTTGCTTCCACACATCCCGGACCCCGCGGCACTCCAAAATTAGGGTGTCGGGCCCAGCGGCACTCCCAAATCTTCCATTGCATTTCTCTTGTTTTAAAACAATGTAAGACCGCTAGATGGCAAATGAAGGCACTGAAACGTCTGGACTGAATGTTCCACGTGTAAAAAGATGTGAGGCCTCTGTATGGAATCGTGAAATTGCTGCAATATGTTACTGGAGGTCTCTAGATTTCAGACCACATAAGGCCACTTGACACGCGCTCTGGTGGCCGGTTGGATACTCTTCGCTCGGGCGGGGATGGTGGATGGGCAATTTGACGCCCAAGAGATCTCAGGGACTAAGAGAGCTGGGGACATCAAATTCACGGGGTGTCTTAGCTTGTACGTGAACTCATTTAGGTCAAAGTTTGAGATCCCTAGGTCATGACCTTGGGACCAAAGAAGGTCAAACAAAGTAAAACTCCAGGCTAGTATCCGAAGTGCCCTTAAAACCTAAATATATGTTCTAAGCAAAAGGTCGCTAATTCATTTAAGGTCCGTGACCTTGCTTGGCGTTCTGAAGGTCATGACGGCCAAAATCATACAAGACTGCTTTGAGTTTTGTATTTGAATAAGCGACAAACGTTACGCCGGGCACCATGTCCCTAAAAACATCATGTTAACCTTGGTCATTTTAGTTCAGTAACCTATTCTGGCCTTTGAGAAGTCCATGAAATATGCATATTTTGGAACCTGTTACCAATAAATTCGAAATGAGCACCAAAAACTATCCCATAGGCAAGCTTTGAAGTAATAAAACAAATTGGTTTTGACCTTGGTCTAACATTCATACCTGACCCTAGATCAATGGAATTTGCTCATTTTATTGTTGCGTTGCTTAAGAAAGTATCCCAGAGATGTATCGCTTTGTCTAACGCTCCGATATTGCATCAGATTGAACGATTCCCTAGACATTGACTTCGCTGAATCCGTGGCCTGACTTTGACCTGCCGTAGGTCAGTTACCTTACAAGGTACATTAAAATCTACGATCTGCTATTCCATTGTCTACGGCTGTACAAAATTTGGCGTGGCTAAACAGCGACGTTCCGAAACCATTCCGGAAAAAACCTTCGGAGGGGCAATTTGACCCCCACCCGAGCGCATGCTAATATGCTTCATTGGTATGGCTGTTGACTTATATTTTTGGGGATGGGCCCCTTGCCACACGAATGCCGAATTTGTCCTCCGTAAAGCTGAATCTCCCCCGCCCCCCTCCGCCTCCACAAATTGGAATGCCAATTGGATCGAGCGCATCTTAAGAGAGGATCCTTATCAGATATTCACCGTGCAAAAGAGACGAAGGAAAGCAGAACAAAATGAATGCCATCCGTACGCAGTAGGGTGAATCGAAAAATACCTGCATATGGCCGAGTCATGTGAACTGGGCTCCTGGTCTTTACCTTAAGAAATGATCGCTAAAATCTATTCGTCAGACGCTTCGAGCTTACGTGATCGCAATGTTTTAGGCGCAAACGCTCTGACGTGGGGCGTTGCAGTCTCCACTGCCCGCGAAGCATGGGTCGCCACAGCCGACACCAGGCGGCGGCAGGCTGGCGAGAGAACACGACTGCGCATCGGGAAATAATGCTTCCAAATGCTTTGTGGGATTCAAATGCCCCAAGGTAGTATATCGCACAGGTTTCAACTAACAGTTCGAGGAAAAGTCGCATACAGCAACGCATGCATTCAAGATTTCACCGTTACGTTATTGCCGACGTGTAAATGTGACGACAAGCTGTCTTAATCCTAAGTTACGTTATTCTGGCCCATACCGGTATATATACATATATATATATATATATATATATATATATATATATATATATATATATAACGAACACCCCTGTGCGGCTCGTGAAAATTCACATGTCGCACATAACCCAGCTCCGCAACATATTCAAACAGTCGGAGTCGTTTGCATTTTTTCAGCTCCAATTACGAGCGGCTCAGACGTCAACATGAGTAACGGCAGCCGTGTTTCGGACTGGATCACGGTGAAGTAGCGTGTGAACGTGCCGGCTGCCACTATGTGGTGCGTGCCGACAGCGTGTGGTGTCCAGGAACTGAACTGCCTGTGACGCGCGATAGTGGCGATGATGACAAATACGCACAACAAATTGCGTATCGTCTTGTAACGAGGCGAAGAGTTACGCTCGTCCAGTCCGGCGTTTTATAAGTCAGCAACACTCAGGTGTCTTTCGGTACCGAATAGGAAAGCAATAAATTAATGGGAAACATCGTTCCGATAATAGTCAATATTACGTAATGGGTGCTTACTCCAGCAGCCAGTGTCAGTCCCCGTAACAACGAGCATCGTCGTTTCCCATTCCAAAGCTGCCTGTGTGTGTTGTTTGAGGCTGGAGGAAGTATGAATTAATTGATAATACGATACAGCAAACGGGGAGTGCTTCGTGCACATTTGATAATACTGTTGCAGGTCTATTGGCTGGGACTGGAACGCACCTGTCGGCTGACGGTGTCCCATATATGTATATACCATTACACCACAACCTTTGTAAAGGTTTGCCAGTCTCAAACACAGGAGTGTAGGAAGGATTTCCTTAAGGGAGATAACTCTTAAAGCACTCATCATTACAAAGCCGAGGGAACCGCATATGATGCTTGACTAAAAAAGGGGGCCTCAGAGGGGAGGGGGAGGGGGGGAACGCCCTTTCTGTCTGCGCCTCTGTCCACACGATTTCGCGAGAAGAGATTGTTCGCTCCTAGAAGCAGCCTTGGATCGGCGTCGGTAATGCCCTGGTATGGTGTCCGTAACCAAGCTATTTTAGAGCTAGCTGTGCAGCCTATAACTAGCTCGTTCTGCGACTTCATGAGCCAACTCTATGCTGGGGATCGAGTCGTTTGATAGAGTCGTCACTAGACGGAGCGATAGAGTCGTCACTCCTTTGATGCGCATGCGCCAGTTCAATTGCCATCAGCACGACCCCAGCTGTTGCAAAATCATACACAAAGTGCAGATGAGTGGAAGAACATAGGAACGGCTTAAAAAGCTATGACTGCAACCCTTTCCAAACTTAGCTTTCAAACTACATCATCGCAGGATTAATACTATCTTTCACAAGTATGGGTCACAGTTCATGACCAGTGCTCCTTTGTCTATACTGGGGAGAGCGCCTGTGTATGTGCAGTACCACGGCTATTGTAATGTCGCATCCATGTTTTACGTACTACGCAGGCACGAGGTCGCTGTAGTGTGTGTGTAGCTTTGGTCAACGGTGCCGAGAAGTGCAAGGAATGTGAAACACAGAACACTCGAAGAAAACCAATAGTGAGAAGCATTTATGTGGGTCATTTAAGCTGTGCGACACACTTAGCCACTTAGGCTTTTTGGCATCGACTACCTCCCAATGTGGCAGGCACTACTAGGAATCAAACTCCGAACCTTTGATTTCACAGACGTGTGTCTTAACCACTACGCTTACGCACTAAGAAATATACTGGTCAACGGTCAGCACTAACGCAATGTATACACACACACACACACACACACACACACACGCACACATATATATGTATATATATATATATATATATATATATATATATATATATATATATACATATACATATACATGTATATCACATCAGCTAACGTTTGCATTTTGGTCAAGGTGCCTCAGCACGTTGAACTGTTTGTTCATGACCCTTCCATGTGTCAGGTTGTAGCCGCTGGGTGGCGGGGTCACCTATACGTTGGACGGCATCGTGATAGGTGACTGGGTCCCGGTCGCATGGCAGCAGCAGACATGCGGGCACCATTCATACTGGTCGCCGGGGCCTGTTTTGTGCTGTCTCTGCTGGCCTGTCTCTCTGCACCCTCCCAATCGAGGTAACGCTTTATTAAAATAGATGCGTTTGGTGACATGGACACGAATACAGGTGCCGGGCCGGTTCGACCCTGCACTACACCGCTTATACACGTGTGGGACGGGCAGTGTGACGTGTTACAACATGAACTGTCAGTACCAACAGGCCGCCCTCACGTGAAATGCCTCACGGCAGGGCCCTCCTCGCGGCCGGACAGGCGAAGGGCCGGCGACTGAGCCTCTGGAGCCGGCGCCCGACGCGACTGGCTCCGGCGGCCCCAGCTGTCGGGACGTGGGCGGCCGTCGAGGCGTAGAGCGGCCAGCAGCGCCAGACGCCGCCCGACACCGCACCGCTTCTACCCGAGCGTCGCCGGCCGCCGGCCCGGCGACGCCAACAGTACGGAAGCAGCTGCCGACGGACGGCCAGCTGCAGCTCCCGAGCCGTGGCCCGAGCAGCCGCCGAGGCGGCCGACCGGGCCTCCGCCGGCCGCCGGTCGCCGCTCTCGCAGCTAACTCACACTACACACACGCACACGACGACTAGCACACCGAGAAAGAAGCGCGGGCCATCCCGGCTGAGATCCACGCCGCCGCCGGGCATTGCACGTGCTCTGTGGCGCGAGGCGCGCTGGCGGGCCGTCGCGCCGCCGCCGCCGCCGGCGGTCGGTTACCGTCACAAGCCGGCTGGGGCCGGCGGCGGGCGGCCGACCCCGTCGCCCAGGTGCTTGGCGATCTCGCGCTGCAACTGGTCGGGCAACACGCCCACGTTGGCGAACAGGTTCTTCAGCACAGTCAGCTCCTTGGTCATGATCTCGACGCGTTTGTGCAGGCCCTCGTTCTCGCGTGCGAGGAACTTGACCCTGTCCTCGGTCTCGCGGCAGCGCTGCTTGGCCTTCTCGCGCGACTTGCGCACGGCCACGTTGTTGCGCTCGCGCCGGCGCCGGTACTCCTCCGAGCCAGGGCTGATGCGCTTCGAGGGAGAATGTTTGCTGCCGCCGGACGACCGGCTGGGCGTGGAGGTTGCTGCGGCGGCGGCAGCGGCGGCGGCGGCAGCGGCGGCGGCGGCGGCCGAGGCGGCCGGCAGGCGGGCCTGCGTCAGACTGGTGGCCGCGGACACGGGCACCAGGCCGGCGTACGTGGGCCCATAGTCGGCGGCGAAGCCGGCGAGCGCCGGCTGCCGGCACGGCTGGAACTCGGGCGTGTCTGGGTCCTTCTTGACTGGCAGATGGGCCGGCTCGCCGCCGAGCCGCGGCGCGGCATAGCCCATGGGCTGGTGCAGGTACCCCATGCCGGCGGCGGGGTATGTCAGGCCGGCACAGGAGGCCGGCGGCAGGCGGCCGCCCAGCCCCAGCGGCCCCGCCACGCCCAGGCCCTTGCCCTCCACGATGTCGTTGAAGATGCCATCGCTGAAGTGCGGGTCGTTAACGAACGCCTGCAGGTCGAGCGATACCTCGGAGGCGCCGAGATCGGCGAGCTCGGCGAACTCCTCGCCGTACGCGCCCAGCCGCGACTTGTTCGAGACGCCGTTAAAGTTCGGCTTCACCACTGCGTCACTTAAGTCATACATCTGAGGCGATTCCATGCTCCCTCAGCATGTTGCGCCGGCACCGCGAGTCGTCAGGAGGCGCTCCGGGGAGCAGGCGCGACCAGACTGTACCAGCGCCCGGTCGCGACTGAGCTGGCGCACGCTGCCACCGGCCGCCGCGCCACGTGAAAGTGATCTGCTGGAGCGGGAGCGCGCGCCACCACACGCCGCCGCCGCCGAATGAACTCTGGCGCCGCCGGCGTCGCGACGGCCCATATGCAGCGCGCGACCAGGAACAGCGGCGCCGTGACGAGTGCTGCCATCTATCGGCCGGCGGCCAACTAGCTAGTCTATACGGTACGTTACGACGATAAAATCGCAATGCATGGTTGTTAAACTGAAGGTCCTGTTTCACTTACGTGCTAATCTTTCGCTGGCCTTCACAAGGATTTATCTGCAGTCACCAACGATTAGGAAGTCAGTGTTGATCCACCGCCATACCTACGTACACGTAAGTACGTAGGCAGTAATGCAGAAATGCGCACAAGTTCCATTAATTGGCGCGGTAATCTTTGAATTGACCGTCTCTTTTTTGACATATTTCCTTTCATCCGCTGCTTATCCTTGTCAACCGCCAGAACATTGTAGTTCATCACGCCTCTGCTTGTCAGAAGCGGCTGGTTCAGCGAGGTACATTTCGATTGCATTGTTGTGAACCTCGTTATCCCATGAAACAGTATCATATTTCGCTCCAGAATGCCAGACTGAGTCGCACCGATCCACGGTTTTGTTTGAATCACGATCTTCACCTCACTGATCCTTTCACACACGTGACGAGCACGCTCACACGACTCTGGCCAGCGCTTGACCTGCTGTCTGAGCTCTGTATCCACGAAGCCGCCGTGACGGTCCCGTTGACAGCCTGGCGAGCCCGCCAAACGGTAGTTCTCCGTGTCGCCGCTTTGGTGGCGCCGGTCGTTGGCAGTCAGTGATCCGCGCATTGCTCAAGATAGGTTAGCTGTGCACCGCGGGCCTGTGTCCGGCACCACAGCCGGAGACGACCTGGGGTGCGGGAGCGTGGCTCATTACATGCCGAACAATGGTCATACCAAAAAAGTGCAACTTCTGAAAACAGAAGCCGCATCTGGCCACCAGGGCGGCTCCACCACCGTGATGGGAATTATCTAATGTCCTGGCGTGGAGCAGGAATTCCCTTCGGAAACGTTTGCTCAAATACTCGTGCACCTAGCAGTTATCAGAGAAGTCCCTCCAGTGAGAGAGCCTCCTGTCAGTACGTGGGTATTCACTGCGCCCCTTGCGTCAGACTTATCTCAGCAGATAACGATTCACTGAGCCCCTCCGGTCAGACCTTAGTAGATAACTGTTCGCTGTGCCCCTTCGTGTCGAACCTATCTCAGCAGACAATTGCTCGCAAGGCCCCTCGGGTCGGGCCGATATCAACGGCATTAGTGGTACGGCGGCAACCCAGCATTCAGACAAGTGAACAACAGGCAGGATTTGGGAACATCCAGGCCTTTATAAGACTTTGTTTATGATCATGCAGACAGCATGATCAACGTACTTATAGCCCCTCGGGTTCATCAGCATTAATCTATCTATCTATCTATCTATATATATATATATATATATATATATATATATATGTATATATATATATATATATATATATATATATATTATATATATTTATATATATAATATATATTGCAATATTTTAGCAGAATTTTTTCTCTCATACATGTTTCATCAAAAAATACTGCTGGCTCAGCATTGATGAGCTTTTTGACGCATCGCTCTAGTTTCCGCGCTTTTGGCTCGGCATTATCGTTTAGGTTAAAGATGGCTCGCACCAAATTACTCATATACTCTTCGCTCTTTGCATTCTAACGTTTCGAGACACTATGTCACCGTCGGAAAAGACTGAATGGCACAAAAAAATAGTTTTGAGCTTCAAAGGATAACAAATTGTGCAATCCATTGGAAAACATCTTTTGGTACGGAGAACACAAATAAAGCATGGCTAGTTGAAGTAAGACAAAATCATTTTTTCACATTGATACATACCAAATACACTCATAATGGGAACGCTACAAGGACACAATGAGAACACTTCTGACACAATCACAGCAATAGTGCTCACCGCCCACCAGCTAATGGTTCAAAATCTGTACAGGAATTTGTTTGTCTGTTTAGGGCTGTAGAGAGTTTGTTAATAAATTTTCAATGTCAGAATTTGAAGGCAAAAAACGCTGTTCACTAAGGCCTGTCTCATTCTTATCAATTCTGAATGTAGTCCTGTCCAATCAGAGCATTATCAAACTCAAATGTCAGAGAGTTTGGGTGAGCAAATGTCCTTATCAAAATAAAATGGCATCTGCCCACGAACAAGACGAAAAAGCTCTCCAGGAAATTATCTCTCGATATGTAAAAGGCAAAAACGACCATAAAATACACATTGTCAATTATTCACGCAGTAAGAAAATCTTTTAACTTTCTGATGAGAAACAGCCCAGACAAACCCGACAAACTAAAGTGCACCAACGTAGTGTACCAATTCCAATGCAGCATCAAAGGCTGCAAAGTTCGCCCCATACACTACACTGGTGTGACCACGACACTCTCACGACGCCTGACAATGCACTTATCTGACGGGGCACCTCTGGACCACATGTGATACGAACAGGACAGGACATTGACACAACAACTGACAGACAACACTAACATTTCACCGACGTGCAGTAGCAGAAGACGCCCTCAAATTTGGAAGAGTACATTCATTAACGAACTCTCTCCAGCCCTAAACACGCAAACAAATTCCTGCACAACTCTTGAACTAGTAGGTGGTGGGCGGTAAACACTATTGATGTGATTGTGCCAATAGTGTTCTCATTGTGTCTTTGCAGTGTTCCCATTACGAGTGTATTTGATGTGTGTATGTATCAAAGTGAGAATAGGATTCTGTCTTACTTCAGTTGGCCATGCTTCATATGTGTTTCCGTACCAAAAGATGTTTTCCAATAGAAGTGCACAATGTTTTATCCTTTCAAACTCAAAACCTATTTCTTGTGGCATTCGGTCTTCTCCGACGATGAGATAGAATCACGAAATGCTAGAATGTAAAGAGCGACGAATATATGAGTAATTTGGTGCGAGCCATCTTTAACCTAAACGACAATTCCAAGTCAAAAGCCCGGAAACTAGGGCGATGCATCAAAAAGCTCATCAATGATGAGTCAGCAGTTATTTGTAGTCGCACGCACGCACGCACGCACGCACGCACGCACGCACGCACGCACGCACGCACGCACGCACGCACGCACGCACGCACGCACGCACGCACGCACGCACGCACGCACGCACGCACGCCACGCACGCACGCACGCACGCAACGCACGCACGCACGCACGCACGCACGCACGCACGCACGCACGCACGCACGCACGCACGCACGCACGCACGCACGCACGCACGCACGCACGCACGCACGCACGCACGCACGCACGCACGCACGCACGCACGCACGCACGCACGCACGCACGCACGCACGCCGCACGCACGCACGCACGCACGCACGCACGCACGCACGCACGCACGCACGCACGCACGCCGCACGCACGCACGCACGCACGCACGCACGCACGCACGCCACGCACGCACGCACGCACGCACGCACGCACGCACGCACGCCGCAGCACGCACGCACGAACGAACGCAACGCACGCACGCACGCACACACAACACACACACAACACACACACACACACACACACACACACAGACACACACAACACACACACCAAACATCACACACACACACCACAACACACCCACACCACACACACACACACACACCCCAACACAACACACACCACACACTACACACACACCACACAACACACACACACCCCACACACACACACACACACACATCACCACACACACACACACACACACACACACACACACATCACAACACACACACACGACACACACCACACACGACGACGAGAGAGAGAGAGAGAGATTTGAGAGAGAGAGAGAGAGAGAGAGATAGAGAGGAGAGAGAGAGAGAGAGAGAGCAGAGAGGAGAGAGAGATGAGAGAGAGAGAGAGATGGGAGAGAGAAAGAGAGGAGAGCGAGAGAGAGAGAGAGATATATATATATATATATATATATATATATATATATATAATCTCTATATATCTATATATATCATGGACAAGGAGTTTCTGGTATTATGTTTAAAAGGTATGGACAGGGGTGCCACTTTCTACAGTCGGTTGGGAACTATGTCAATTAAATTGACCCAGCAACCACCCTAATCCTGTTTTCCACCCGGATTTCGGCCGCTGGTTTGCGTACCCAATGTAAAACTAAAAGTGGTGTGTCCAAAATTGCTTTGGTGTTGAGGAACCATTTCCCATTGGAAGCCGATGTGATAGTGATACCAATGATATATGAAGACGATTGTATTAATAGTGACGTGGTGGGGCGCCTAGTGTACTAGCAGTTCAGACAATTCCTACATTTCATCGGTCCAGCATTCGCTTTTTTGTTCATATGCCTTGGGGCAGCCCAGAACGTAGAACATTGAGGGGGCTCAAGTCAGCATATGGTGGGGGGGGGGGGGGGGCAGGCCCCGTGGAAATATACAGTGACACCCCTCGATCCCCGTGAAAATATACAGTGACACCCCTCGATTTAACCCTGAGTTCAAGGACCCCTAAGCCTGACACCACCAAGGGATCCACCAATTTGTCCCCTAGTCCTTAGAAAATATGTTCGCTACGTTTATGCGATACATCAGTTAGCAACCGCCGAAGTCCTGTACTTTTTTGCAACATATCGTTAGCATCATCGCGTCAGGTGTGGAACGAACCTTCAACAAGCAATCGTGTCGGCCATTCTCCTCGTTACGGAGCTGTTACGTCGTTGCGTCTAGGGAGACTAGCGGCACGGGGCTGAATCCGCGCGGTGTCCGCCCTTCCTGCCAGGGTGAGAGGCGGAATCCGCGCAGTGTCCGCCCTTCCTGCCAGGGTGAGAGGCGGAATCCGCGCGGTGTCCGCCCTTCCTGCCAGGGAGAGAGGCGGAATACGCGCAGTCTCCGCCCTTCCTGCCGGGGTGAGAGGCGGAATCCGTGCAGCGTCCGCCCTTCTTGCCGGGGTGAGAGGCGGAATCCGCGCAGTGTCCGCCCTTCCTGCCGGGGTGAGAGGCGGAATCCGCGCAGTGTCCGCCCTTCCTGCCGGGGTGAGAGGCGGAATCCGCGCAGTGTCCGCCCTTCCTGACAGGGTGAGAGTTGGAATCCGCGCAGTGTCCGCTCTTCCTGCCAGGGTGAGAGGCGGGATCCGCGCAGTGTCCGCCCTTCCTGCCGGGGTGAGAGGCGGAATCCGCGCAGCGCCCGCCCTTCATGCCAGGGTGAGAGTTGGAATCCGCGCAGTGTCCGCTCTTCCTGCCAGGGTGAGGGGCGGACAACACCACAAAGTCTCAGTAATTGAGAGCGTCACAAAGCATTAACGACGCATCAGGAGCTTGTGATAAACGTTGATGGTGGGCTTACGAACCAACGCTGCAGTTGTACCACCAAGGTAATTCGCACCCATTATGAATCGTTTCCAGCTTTCAGAAACATGACTTACCGTCGGCCTTTTCTCTCTGGGACAGCCAAAGATGACCATCGATGTGACAGCATCACGCAAAACCGTCTTTAATCTGGATCGTCCTCATAGTTGACAAACATAATCTCGCGTTCCCTGCGCGTTCGTTCAGAACACACCCAAAGTTTTCCGTTGTTTTTCTTAATTGCAGGTCTTCGCTGCCATCACATTTCAGAACAAAGGAAAAATAACACCCTACGCTTCTTCATAAACGGCAACGATGTCTTGCGGCTGATCGAAAACTTGACTCGACACAAAAAATCAAATCACGCATTCGAGAAATGTGAGTCCCCGTAAAAGGGCAGCTAACGCTAGGGAGCCACTGTCAACCTCAGTCAGCACGGAGCTACATCTGTGCTCTGCACGGCCCACCATTTGCTGGCCGTCTGTGTCAGAACGGGAAAAAGTGTAAAAAACCTTGAAAACACAACGATAACAAACCTAGCCAACAGGCAGCCTTACCTTAGAACCATACTTGATATCTGCGCCTCTCATGACCTGGTCTGAATTTATCATGGATTACCACTGTATGGATTACCTTGTTCATGAGCCAAACGTTACGTACCTGCCTGCACCTGCTGTATCGACTTCGGATCGTTGAATGTTGCGCTCTTTTTTGCAAATGGACGTGAAAAAGATGTTTTTTTGCCAGTAACCAAAACTAAATCATCCATGGGTACCGAAATGTAAAATCACACATTCCATGTTCGGTTATCTCCAGTAATCTCCAGTACAGCATGTCGGTTGATCATCCCAAAGCTTTGCGGTACAACCCGGGGAGACAAGTTTTATGGGAGCATGTAGGCAACCGGAGATGGAAAAGTTTGCACTTTTTTGATCGATGGGACGACGTACATGACCAACATGTTTCATAACTGCTGATCCCCCACAACTTAATAACACTAGGTCGGAATGGTGTACTTGTGCTTTCACTGTGATCAGAGTAAATAACCGCATTTCCGTTGCATGCCTGCGGTCAGAAACATAACAATACTGATGTCTTTGCTCCTGTTCTCTACGTTCGTGACTCACGAATGTCTTCATCTTTGGTGAGTCGACTTCACTGCATCTTATGGTGAGGTTTTTGTTGCAATCAAACTGGACAAAGGCATTCTTTTGGCATGTCAGCACACAAAAAAGGACATTTGCTAACCACCGGATGCCGAAACATACCGTACACACCTTTCCTGTTGGCGTGCCTTCGGCGAGTTGGCTCAGGAGCAAGAAAACCACTGCAGTCGAGGCGCGCGTTCATCCCAACATCATCACCTTGTAAATCGACTGAGGCGCATCGACTGACAAGATTTGTGTCGTGTACCCACTAAGTAAGGTTGTTGTGGGCATGCCAGCACCCAAAGGCGAAGGATTTCGTTGGTCATGGGTCATGGCGTTCAGACCCACATATGACATGCTTGTCTGCCCCTTTTAACTAGGCTACGCGGCATCAAATGGTGCTTTTTTGCAATTGCGGAGCGGAAAGATGGCTTTTGGGTCGTGTCGATACTTTCTTTTGAGCACGCCGGGATTTCATGCCTCCCTCGAAACGATGCACCCTATTTTCCAGTGATTTGCTCTTAAAATAGGCCCCACTAGAAGATAGCCGCATTCAGGCTCAAGAGCCCAGGCGGGAACAAGCGTCCTGAGCCATAAAAATAACAATGGCTGCGCCTTCCCTGTGGATGACAATCAACCTAGGCTTGTCGGATGTCTTACTTCGCTGAGTCCACCTGCCGTTGTTCTGGCTACTTTAATGCAAAAGGTGTTCGTGGAATTTTCCGTATATTCATTGCAACTTAGCATCTTTTCAGAATACTGGCACGTTTTGAAGTTCCACGTCATGGCACCCTGTCCGCAAAAAAACAAACTTTGAAATACGTTCTTCGTGACTTGCCGTGCACCCAAAGGGGTATGCTGATAATATGCGTTCAACACTGCTTTTTCGTGCTATACTATTACAAAATCATGAAAAAGCGACCAAAGTCGGGGAAGAAATGTGATTATCAACAAGAAGACATTGTCATGGTCTGGCTTAACGAGGGCGAGAACACTTGGAAAGGGGATCCAGACAGCAAGGCCCTCACCCTTCAAGAACCTGGATACGCGCCTGCTTATCATGACAAATAAGTGCAAAAGAATGAAAGTGTACACATTTTGGAAACGCACTCTGGGACAAAACGCGCTAACAACATATAGTCTACGTCGTTTGCTATTCTCCTACTTTAATTGGAACACCAAAGAGGCCTTTTGAATAATCAAGCAAATAATTATTTCGAAAGGTTATTTTGGTTACCCAAGAAGTGCGTTGGCTTTCGATGTATCAGAAATAAGCAGAAGCAGAAGAAATATAATACCACAAAACCCCCATCTACCATCATTGCCTAGCCCCAGTAGCTTGCCACGATCTAAGTATTGCTAGAGCAGCTGGAGGGAGGCCGGCAAATGAGTCGTGCGTACCGTGCGCTGCCACGACTCAGCGGGTCAACCATACGTGACCGGCCGCCGACTCACCTCTCCATGCCCATGCCGGTGAGACCCGACGGGTCACCTCCTGTAACTCAGCCCAGCGCCGCCGCCTTCCCTGTCCTCCCATGGGCCGCGACGCGCGCGCCAGCGATCCGGCCACGCTGGCCGCTGTCCGGGGCGGACCTCACCGGAGACTTCCACCCACGACTCTCAGTCAACAGTCGGCAACACAGTTCACGAACAGCACGCTTACTCCCCTGTATTACGGCGCAAAGGCTGAGGCGACATTCCACGTCAAACGCACTGGACCCAGACCACAGCTGTGGGGCCTCGCACGGCCCAACAGCCACACCACAACGCAGCACGGCCGGGCCTTCTGCCTCACACGCCACTGCTCATTAAGGTCGCACCAGATCGAGTCCAGTGGCGCCGGTCAGGTCAGCCTCGTCATGCCAGGTCAGGCCACATTATGTCAGGCTAGGTCGGGTCATGTCATGTCACGTGCGTTAAGGTCGTGCCAGGTCAGATGACATCACGTCAGGTCACGGCACGTCAGGTCTGTCAGATCACGTCGAATCATGCCAGTTCAAGTCAAGTTAGGCCAGGTCGTCACGTCGAACCCAACAGAACAAATCGATTTTGCTTCAGTCAGGGCGGATTTGGTCAAGACAGGCCGTGTGAAGGCGGGCCAGGGAAAGACAGGAGTGGACAGAGCAGTCACGTCAGGTCAGATCCGATCAGGTCAGGTCAGGTCCGGTCCAGTCGTCAGCAGTGGCAGCCGGCACGGGCGTCGCCGCTCTCTGAAACGCCACAGACAAACCGCGCGCGCGATACAAGCCAGCCGCACACATCACCCACGGATACCGCACGGCGACCCGTCACGTGACCCGAGTGGCGCCGCGGGGCCGCCGGCCATCACGCCATGCTCTGCGCTGGCGAGGTCAGCTGGCCACCGGCCGGCGCAGGGCGCAGGCGGCGGGGGCGCTCGGCGCTGGAGCCGCTCGAGGCCACCCAGGCCGGACCAACTCGGCGCGCTTCTGCTAGACGCCACGGACGTATGGTGAACACGTTAGCCTGGGTGCTGGCGACTTCAGCCCAGCGAGGCGAAAGACCACCCTAGAGCTATCTCAGCATGGTTACCATTCGCTTCTTGTCGTTCTGTACGCCAATTGCATTCGAAAATCACGGGGGGAGAGCGATGCCGACGCAGCGATGCTTATCCAAGAGGCCGCTACAGTTCCAGTCGAACCTACGCAGAATAACAGTCGAACTCCAGTCGCAGCCGAACCACTCCAGTTCACACTCTACGCACCGACCTACTCAGAGCGCCCCCGTTGAGTCCGGGAGGTCGTCTGTCACGCCACACATATTTATCTAAAGCGGGCCCACAACGCAGCGGTGTAGATGCACTCAGCAGGTCCTAAACAATGCCAGGTTAGACTCACAATGGAGACCAACCGAGCAGGACAACAGTTCTCTGTGTGGTGCAGAGTAGCATTCTGCGATTCGGCACTAAATCACGCCACTGCCGTGCGTCACACAAGAAAGGCTTAAGTTCACCCAGCGTTCCATAGATGGCAGCACGCCGCCACCTCGCTTTCGAAACCCCAAACACAGCTACGCATAGCGCTGAAGGTCGCCGATGAGGAGAGAGGATTACTTGAAAAAAAATTCTGAAAAAGACAGGAAGCGGTCAGGCGACGCTCACATCTTCTGGGAGACGTCGTGATGGGTAACGCGCATACGTGGCGAAGTGACCATGCAGAGTCAAGAAACGATGATGCACACCCACGGTAACATCATTACGCATTCTCCAGTGATCAAACCATGTTAATGGTGATTAAATCAGTCTTAACGGTGACTGCAGGAATTGGGTTCGCCAAAAAGGATTCACAATCTGATTCCTGAGCACCCATCACAGACGATCACTCATTCAAGATACAGCTTTCAGCCCGACACAAATCCCGACCAGCAGGAACATCGCCTTTATCCTTCGCGTTCGGCCGCAACGCCACAGGCTAGAGCATCGTCACATTAAAAGGGCTACTACCACTTCGCACTGGTTGTCGCGATGAGACAAAACAAAAATTACTGGATTATCACCGTGTGAGGTAGGGAGCAAGCTCCTGACGAGAGCACAATATCACGCAGGATATCAAATACCATAAATGTCGGCGCATTTGACTGGCACTCATTTTCAGTAGGCCCAACCCCTTACTCTCCATAACAGATGTCGGGTGCCAGCCTGTGGCGCAGCGTCAGGTGAAGGCAGTCACTCGCGCACCATAATGTAGCGTGCCATTGGTTTCGCAGTTCCGCACCCCTGTCTTTATTTTTCACTCCATTCAGGCTGTCCATTAGCAAATATTTCAAGCATACATTCATGAAAGCACATATATGTACACATCAAACTAGCCATGAATTTCTCCCTGCGGAGCCGTTGGGTGAAGTGTATAACGAACAACAAACAGGGGGGTGAGGGACAACAGCGGAGTGTCTAGCGCCCTCAGCTCCGCCGAGCGCACCCGGCTCCGGGAACTGGCTGGGGCCTCACAGCTGGCTGGCTGGGGCCTCACAGCGCCAACAGCACCAGCAGAAGTCGTCGGCGCTCGCTAAACGGGTGCGCAACGACGTGCGCCACGACCCCTTAAAACGCCGACCAGGCCGCTCTAAGCGGTAACACACACAAACCTCGGCAATTACTGGGATAGTCTGATACTGTCGCAGTAAGGCTTAGGTTGCCTCCGTGCATCCACCGCTGCCTTACCAGCATGTCACGCTTCTACGGTAGCGCTGAGGAGTCGCATCGAGCCGACTGGATCATCCCCAGTGAACTCGCCACAGCCCACCGCAATAGCGCACAGCGATCGGTCTCCGACAAGCCCGTACGTGCAAACGCAGGGCGTCTCTCGGTTCGGGCAGGGACCACGTCTCAGCCTCACACGCTGCACGCCACTTTTTACGGGCCCAGTCCGTAAACACAACAGTGGTTCGTTTCGGTGAAAATTACGTCCGTGAGAATTCCCGCAGTGACGTCACAGCAGCCAGGTCGCGAGTAGCAAACACAACAGTGGTTAACACCAACGGCACAACGCGACGGCACTGTTCATTGCCACCGACGCCGCGCGACAACTGGGCTTTTGAAGATTGCACCACTTGAGCATTCCTTGGACTGAAATTTTGTAGCAGCATGCAACATTCGCGACCAGGTGGGGCAGGTAATGCCCGGCCAAGTTGCCTGATCCGTGTGACGCAGCCTGGCCTCGCGCGGCCCTGTGCCCAGCGCCGGGCCGGCAGGCTCCGCGTGCGAGCCGTCAGGCTGGCGGGCGGCAGCGCATAGTGAGAGCAGAGGAGCCGCCTAATCTGGCACTTAGCTCCCTCTTCTGCGCAGCTTTGCAGAGCTTTCACACCTTAGCTTGTTTGCACCAAGGGCTTAAAGTTAGAGTAACTGTGACGCCTTTCTCAACAACACAAGGTTGAGGGCGAACAACTCGCCGTTAGTATCTTTAGATGTACGCAAAATATTGAAATGCATGCAAAATTTTGTCTCGACATTGAGCGCCTATCGCGACACAAAAACTAATTATCCGACTTAAAGTTGACTTGACGCGCAATGACGTTCATGAATACGACTGTACTCATGAATCCTGCACGAGTAAGACTGTACTCACGCATATTACCTGCACGAGTACGACTGAACTCATGAATATTACCTGCACGAGTACGACTGTACTCATGAATATTACCTGCACGAGTACAACTGAACTCATGCATATTACCTGCGCGAGTACGACTGAACTCATGCATATTACCTGCACGAGTACGACTGTACTCATGCATATTACCTGCACGAGTACAGTCGTGTTCATGTAGACAATGTGCATGTCACATTGTTGTCGCCGTCGACAGATGGGCAGCCTCACACCGGTCTGTCCCGGAAGGGTGGCCGCACTGGTCGGACCGCTTGCTCGTGAGGTCACTGGTCGGACCACCCGCTCGTGGGGTCACTGGTCGGAACGCCCGTCCGTGACGTCACTGGTCGGACCGCCCGTCCGTGAGGTCACTGGTCGGACCGCTTGCTCGTGAGGTCACTGGTCCGACCACCCGCTCGTGGGGTCACTGGTCGGAACGCCCGTCCGTGACGTCACTGGTCGGAACGCCCGCCCGTGACGTCACTGGTCGGAACGCCCACCCGTGACGTCACTGGTCGGACCGCCCGTCCGTGACGTCACTGGTCGGACCGCCCGTCCGTGACGTCACTGGTCGGACCACCCGCTCGTGAGGTCACTGGTCGGAACTCCCGCTCGTGAGGTCACTGGTCGGAACGCCCGCCCGTGAGGTCACTGGTCGGAACGCCCGCCCGTGAGGTCACTGGTCAGAGCGCCTGCTCGTGGGTTCACTCACGCGGTGGAATAGGGCGTGCTGCGGGCGGGCGGAGGCACCAGCGACGTCTACGAGGCCCACGCGGCCAGCTCGGCCATGTCGTCGTCGTCCTCCTCCTTCTTGGCCTTGGCGCCTGTCAACAGACACGCGCTCGTTACACAGGGCCGCCGGCAGTCACGCGCAGTGATGCCCTGTCGACTGAAGCGGTCGCAAACACGGCCACTGTGGCCAGCAGCATTGTCTCCAGTACTGTCGACTGAAGCGGTCGCAAACACGGCCACTGTGGCCAGCAGCATTGTCTCCCGTACCGTCGACCGAAGCGGTCGCAAACACGGCCACTGTGGCCAGCAGCATTGTCTCCTGTACTGTCGACTGAAGCGGTCGCAAACACGGCCACTGTGGCCAGCAGCATTGTCTCCAGTACTGTCGACTGAAGCGGTCGCAAATACGGCCACTGTGGCCAGCAGCATTGTCTCCAGTACTGTCGACTGAAGCGGTCGCAAACACGGCCACTGTGGCCAGCAGCATTGTCTCCTGTACTGTCGACCGAAGCGGTCGCAAACACGGCCACTGTGGCCAGCAGCATTGTCTCCTGTACTGTCGACTGAAGCGGTCGCAAACACGGCCACTGTGGCCAGCAGCATTGTCTCCAGTACTGTCGACTGAAGCGGTCGCAAACACGGCCACTGTGGCCAGCAGCATTGTCTCCTGTACTGTCGACTGAAGCGGTCGCAAACACGGCCACTGTGGCCAGCAGCATTGTCTCCTGTACTGTCGACTGAAGCGGTCGCAAACACGGCCACTGTGGCCAGCAGCATTGTCTCCTGTACTGTCGACTGAAGCGGTCGCAAACACGGCCACTGTGGCCAGCAGCATTGTCTCCTGTACTGTCGACTGAAGCGGTCGCAAACACGGCCACTGCGGCCAGCAGCATCGCCTCTCATGGCTGCGTGGTGTCAAGACACCGTACAGCCCGGCACACCGTCTTGCCGCTATAGAGCGTAAACGACTTGAGTTGTTACGTGACCACCCGGAGGCCCCTGCGTCAACCAGGAAGTACACCACGGTCTCGCACGTGGGAGTCGAACGTTCTCACTACTGATGCATTTCCTTCCTGGGGGGGGGGGGGGGGGCATTACTGCACGCCGTCGACATCATTTATGTAGTTGATAGTCAAGCAACTCTCCCTTCTCCATGGTTGTGTTAGGGAGCCGGGTGATGATGTAACCTCTTAACGTTTGCGATCATGGTTCTACTAGAACAGCACCACAACGTGCGAAATCCCAATTAAAAGCGTGCGACAACGCACGCATCAAAACAGTTATTGGCAAGAGGACGGATGTTCTGCGACGCTCAGAGAGTGACTACGTCAGGTAGTAACCGCAGCAGCTGCAGTGCTGGGCGCTGTACGGCTGGGCTTCGCTTGAAAGGCAATCGCGATCGCGCACGCCAAGTGTCATTTCCAGACATCAGTGGAGTGAAGATGTCTCTTTTAAGAACAAGCCACGCTGGTTCCTTATTCAACACCATGTCGACTTAAATCACGCCTCAGAGAGCTGCCTGACGCGACGAAATCCATCAGCACCACACCATATGGCAGCGAGCAAATGCGAAATCCACAACAGCGTATCGGCCTAGTCATCGAATGGACGTATAGCTGAATTCCAATTCGGCCCATTCGAAAGTGTACCAGTCTATTCATGCCACTCGAAAGCCGCATATGCAACTGAAACATAAGATCTCAGGATGCCCTTGGTTACGAGTCGTCCGGTCGCCTGAACATCGACCCAACTGATACTGACGACACATCGAAGTGATTCTAGTAGTCAGTTGATCTAGCGATTTTTAGGCGGACGACTCCATCGCCAACCCGTGTTGACGAAAATATCGCCGCTACCAGTAGCGGGTGCCAAATGTGTCAGCCAATCCGACCACACGTCTCCATCTTCTGCCAGCACGGCACGGGTTATTGCATAATGCAGAACACATTACGCCCGCACGGGAGGCGTACTGACGACTAGGCCAGCCTCGTGCCCAACGTGTTTGCAGTGTTCACTCTAGGCTGGTCAAAGACCGAACGTAGCGAATCGATGCAGCTAACGTAAATCCGGAATGATCATCCGCGTACGCCTCTTCCCGTCGCAAAACCTATCAGGATTACCATAGAGACGCCGACGAATTCGTCACCAGCATGCTATGAAATTAAAACAGCTTCCATTCGTATTGGGGAACCCCGTGGCGGTCTCAGAATTTTTCGATGTGACTAAGATATTTAAATCTTGTTTTTGACGGGGTTCCCGTTAACCCCATGCCGAGCTGGGAGGCGGGGGGGGGGGGGGGGGAGATGCCCCCGTCACCAATATATCGGCAGCTTCGGACCGATAATGAAAAACCAAACAGCGTTCTAATTCTCGCAGGCAAACTCAAAATAGTTAAGGTATGTTAGCACTTACGTAGCTGTAACGTTGAGCCGTCTACCATGCAAAAATGCAGATCGATAGACAATAATTTGAAAATGGAACAGCTACATCATTTCAGAATTGTAATTTTTGGAGCATCCTGAGAGCGTAAAACGGAGTGCAAACAAAAATTGCTACAACGGGTATTTAATTGGAAGCGTACGGAGCAAACGGGATGTCGCTTTGTTTTGCTATCAAAAAGGCAATTAAACACAAAACGTGGTGTATGCGGAGCCAGAATGCCTACTGGAATAGCGAAAATGGGGGCTGGGCGAGTAACGCACACCATTGTCAGCCGGCCTACTACTATGCGCTGTACATGCAGCATGACGTCTACATAGCATGTATAAGCATGGGCCGGACATCGGTGTATCCGGACAGGCGATTGGAATACGGTCGGTCACCAGGGCCGTCAGTGATCTGATCCCGCCCATCTGACAGCCCATCTGACAGCATGTCATCCATCGCCGTCGTCGTCATTCCATTCGTCATCCGATTGAATGCCCGCTAATGGTGATCCCGGCCTCCGAGTGCTATGAATGCCCGCTAATGGAGGCCCCGGCCTCCGAGTGCTATGAATGCCCGCTAATGGTGGCCCCGGCCTCCCAGTGCTATGAATGCCCGCTAATGGTGGCCCCGGCCTCCCAGTGCTATGAATGCCCGCTAATGGTGGCCCCGGCCTCCGAGTGCTATGAATGCCCGCTATTGGTGGCCCCGGCCTCCGAGTGCTATGAATGCCCGCTATTGGTGGCCCCGGCCTCCGAGTGCTATGAATGCCCGCTATTGGTGGCCCCGGCCTCCGAGCGCTATGAATGCCCGCTATTGGTGGCAACGGCCTCCGAGCGCTATCATCCCTACGTTATTTCGCCGCTCCTGGAGTCGCCTCCGATAGTCTGTTTACATGTCGTCTACCGTGCGGAACGCAAGGATGGAATACAACGTTCCGTATCAGGTCTTCGTATTCCAGGTAAGACGAACCCGTCCCTCTCATCCTTGCAGAAACCTCTGCGCAGCGATGCTTCTTACGTTTTACTTACGTCCAGCTCCACATGAACATACAGTTAAACACGTCCATTCCAACATCTTAACGCAATGCGAAAGACACACGTTTGGTAGAAGTCAGAAGATTTAAGCAGTTACTAAGACCAGCTACAAACCATAGGGAGGAGCCCGCGCAAAACCCGATGAGGCGGAATCACCAACGCGAGACCCGGTGAAGGCGGCCTTCCGGTCGACGACCGCGGAGGCTGATCGAGTGTCCGCCCGCATGGTGCCGGTGGCCGAGCCCCGAGGCTGGCGAAAGGTCGCCTGGGTGCCAGCCACCGCGAGCGGAAGTGCAGCGCCCGTGAGCGCTCCCAGTGGGCGGCGCATGATGGCGGTCGGCCGATGGCATCAAATGCCGCTGAGCTGAGCCGCTGACGTCAGAGGCGGGCACCGTCTGCACCCGCTGACGTCAGAGGCGGGCCCTGTCTGTACCCGCTGATGTCAGAGGCGGGCTCTGTCTGCACCCTGTCTGACGTCAGAGGCGGGCCCTGTCTGTACCCGCTGACGTCAGAGGCGGGCTCTGTCTGCACCCTGTCTGACGTCAGAAGCGGGCTCTGTCTGTACCCGCTGATGTCAGAGGCGGGCTCTGTCTGCACCCTGTCTGACGTCAGAGGCGGGCTCTGTCTGTACCCGCCGATGTCAGAGGCGGGCTCTGTCTGAGACCCTGTCTGACGTCAGAGGCGGGCTCTGTCTGTACCCGCCGATGTCAGAGGTGGGCTCTGTCTGCACCCTGTCTGACGTCAGAGGCGGGCTCTGTCTGCACCCGCTGATGTCAGAGGCGGGCTCTGTCTGCACCCTGTCTGACGTCAGAGGCGGGCTCTGTCTGTACCCGCTGATGTCAAAGTCGGGCTCTGCATGCACCTGCTGACGTCAGAGGCGAGCTCCGACGGCCCCCGCTGACGTCGGAGGCGGGCTCTGACGGCCCCGCTGACGTCAGGGTCGGGCTCTGACGGCCCCGCTGACGTCAGGGTCGGGCCCTGACGTATCAGTCGGGCTCTGTCGTATAGTTGGGTCCCGACGTCAGTGTTGGGCTCCGTCTGTACTGTTGGCCAGTGGGTGTCATCAAACTCCGTACAGATGGACGCCCGGCTTGCGGTGGCGTCTTCGTGTTTTAACTTCCCGGATAAGCGTACATTTCACATTAATTTTGCTGGGAGCTTGTTTGGTCGCACAACATCTGCCCGGCCAAACCAAATGTCACGATCACGAACGATTTCACCCGACGTTTAAGACAAACCCAGGAACGGCAGGCAGGAATATGATTATCCCCTACATCACATTCCATGGAATGCTAAATTCTGCAATTTACGTAGGCTTTGTGTGACAAGCGTCCAACTCCAACTTCAGGCATTCTCATTGTACTTTTAGCCACTTACGTAAGTTAGCTTTCCTGAATGAATGCATCCATAGTTCGCTAACTGCTCCAAACATTTTCAACTGCACATCTCCAACTTCCGTGCATTCTTCACCCCCACCCGGGTATTCTCTGATGCAGTTGCCCACTTATGTAAGTTCATTTCCCTGCATAAATGCGTCTATAGTTCAGCACAGAACAAGTGAGTTACCTGTCTGTACCGTCTGCGACATTTAAAGGTCACCGAGTCCATGCGCATCTTTATCTCAACAACCCCCACACGTGCACATCTCGCCGGCGCACAAGATGTCTGATGGACAGCATTCATGGACACGTTCGACACCTCGCCGCATCTGCACATTCATGGCGTCCTGCGCACACTGTGTCGGCGCCTTCGCCTCTCTTTAATATTCATTCGGATCGGGAGCGCCGGGTGCGACGGCGGCCAAAATAGGCTCGGCGGCGCAGCATCCGGCGCCGCCGAGCCGGCCGAGCCGAGCGACATCGGCGGCGGCGGCGGCGCCGGCTCAGTCTGCCGGCGGCGGCAGCGCCGGCTCCAGCTCGGCCGTGGTGACTCGGCGCAGAGGCCCGAGCGCCGGCTGTCGGCCCGCCGGCCGGAGCTGACCTGACCTGATCGTCAGTTGATCACCCACCGGCCGGAGCTGACCTGACCTGACCGTCAGCTGACCATTCGCCGGCCGAAACCGACCTGACCCAGCGGCGCAGCGTGCTTCCACGTCCGGCCCGGTGTCCTGCTCGACACAGGTCAGTATCGCGCTCGCTCTGGTGACCTGACGCCGGGGGAAGCGGCGGCAGACGCCGGGGGTGCCGTGCTCCGGTGGCCTAACGCCGGGGGAAGCGGCGGCAGACGCTGGGCCGCGCCGTGCTCTAATGATCTAACGCCGAAGCCTGACCTGACCCGTCCCGATCTCTGGACTCAAAGATACGGCGCAAGGTGTCGGGCTGGTAAACGACACCGCTACATCGGCTCAAATGCGAGTATTCACGTGTCACAGAGTCGCGGGCCTCTAACTGTTAACAGCATGAGTAACTGGTCCCCGCTTCAGCCGAAAGGCTTCGCCCAAACGTGTCGTGAGTGGCCTAAAAATGGAGCTGCTGGGACCATTATGCATTCTCAGCAATGGAACATACCGATGGGATCTGTCGGCGCTCCAACCATTCTGTTACATCACGGCTCACACCAAGCCGATGCGAACTGTCGCGGCCGACGGCAGGCTCCAGACCACACACAAAGGCCGCACAAAGGCCGACTTGACAGCGGAGTGCCGAACATTGTGGGCGCCACATTAATACCAGCTCCTGTGTGCTTATTTGCCCAAACATAAAGTCTCACAAACCACGAATGTGTGGAGACGACGTAACACATCAAACTGCCGGAGACCTGAGATTCAGGGCAACGCCAAGGTTGTCCTACTTCCCTTCCACACTGAAAAACGGTTATTAAGCTTCCACTACATTCTCTCACTCAGGTGCAGTTTTGTCTAAACAGTAACAGCTCGACAACCGCAGCAAGCGCCGCAGCTTACAATATCGTATCCGGAGCCGGGTTTGTCTCATTCCTGACAGCAAATGGTACATTTCAACAGGTTAAGACATGACTGATAGATTAAAGCTACAGAACACACTTGGTCAGAACATTAGCGATAGTAATTGGCGCTTGCGGTCGCTTCGACTTCGCGGTCATATAGCGCCCACAATGTATTGGTTAAAACAGAACTGTCTGACAATGAAATGCAGCGCTTGTGCAGAAATGAAATGCAGAGCGCATTTGCGCCTTTATAGCCAAAAATGCGGTCTCCCGAATGTAGACACTTAATTTGCAGTCTGTCAAATCCCGGTATTCACCATCCAATTCGATACGTTCGTTATGCTGACAGACCATCTGCTTTCAATGAAATGGTCTCGTCAGACGCCATAAAACATGACCTTGTCTGACATTGTAACACAAATTGTTGCAAGTCAGATCAAAGGAATCCGCCCGCCGCATCGACCGCTCGACCACGTTACCTACACCGGGTCATACGTTTCCTGATAGCGGCACCTGTGTGTCACATAAGCATAGCATGTGACGTGACGAGCTCTGCACGTACCGCAACGCCTATCGCAAATACACTGCGCACCGGTAAGATATTAGGCTGCTCATATAGTGAGATTTACGACAGAGTCGCCTTTGTTCGGTGTCCGTGTCGCGTCGCTGCCGGAGCGCTGTCAACAGGCGAGGCTGCGGGAGAGGGTCGTTCCCGGGTGCTCCAGGGCATGCGCCGCTTCCGTCCAACTCCGGCCAGCCCAAGCAGCAGCGCGCCAGGTAATCACGCATTACGGAGGAGGACCGAGCGCCGCTGGTGCGGGACAAACGCCGCAGAGGCACAACTGACGGCACGGGGCCCCATGAAGTGTGTGTGGGGGCTGGGGGCTGGGTCAGATTCGGCGAGCGCCGGCTGATTATGTCTGGGGCAACGCTGCATTCGTGCGGACTGGGATGCCACCGTATGAATTATGGGCCGTTGCGTAACGAACCACCCGACGAACTTTAAGTCTCGGTTAAGGTTACAGTACCTCGCGAGAACATCCTGCCCAAGCCCGCAAATCGTGGGAAAAACCACACAAAAGTGACGGCAGTCATTTCAATTCCTAACTGAGTTCAGGAGGGCCCTGACGTTTTTACGTGTTTCCTGTATGCACGGCACCCCTATGGATGCCGTGTGACTTGAGATCAGGTAACAAAATACCGAGCCCTCCATTCAAAGGAGCTAAGCTCTCCATTCGGCACCAACATTCTGGGACGAAGCGCCTGAGAAATCAATAATGTGCACAAAGAATCCACCACTCTAGCACTTCCGCAATTCCTGGCTTGATAAGCGCACGCGCGGGACAACTGACAGTAAACACAGCCAAGCTGAACCACCGTACACAAACCTCATATCACCAAGTGTGGCGGCAGCCTTCCGAAAACAACTGTGGCCAATTACGGACCCCGCACAGATGTTAGCGTTATTGCTATTCATAGTATTGCCGTATGCGTCACAAGCGGAGCCGACGAGCCTGGTTGGCCGCCGTCACACACCATCCCTGCATTCCCCTGCCGTCTTCTCAGACCGTCCGTAACGGTTCGTCTCATCGCCTCCTCAGAGCCGCCGCCACATGCGCGCCGAAGGCGGCACGTGCCGCCCGCCCCCGACCAGCTGGATGGAGAGCTCGCACCTGCGGCGGCGCTCCTCGCAGCTGGAGGTGGAGCGGCCGGCGCCAGCGCGGCCTTCGTCGCCGCGGCCGATCCCAGCGCGGCGCGGCGACACGGCACCGTCCGGCTGGGGCGCCAGCCGCTCGCCGTCGCCCTGCCCGCTAGAGGATGGCTCGCCGGCGGCGGCGGCGCGTCGCCACTCGCGCCACTCGCTGGCCGCCTCGCCGGGCCGGCCGCCGCCGGCGCTGCGCGACTGGCAGGAGGAGTTCGCGCTGCCGGAGTTCCGGCCACGCTCCAGCTCGGTGGCCGTGCCGCGGCGTGCGCAGCTCACGCGCACCCACCGGCTGCCGGAGCGCACGCCGCACGGCCTCGACCCAAGCACGGCGTCGGCACCGCAGCGCAGCGTGTCGCGCGCCTCCGAGACGGAGCTGGCGCGCGTGCGTTCGTTCGTGACCACGTCGCGCGGCGTGGTGAGTCGCGGCGACAGCGTACAGCTGCGGCCGACGCCACCCACCACGCCCGCCTCGTCGCTTGCCTCCAGCGGCCACACGTCACCGGCGCTGAGCCAGTCGCCGCCAGGCGCGCCGGCGCCGCCGGCCGTGCACCGAGTCGTGCCGCTGGGCGGCGCCGGCGTCGGCAAGACGGCGCTCGTGCGCCAGTTCCTCTCCTCCGAGTACATGAACGGCTACGACACGGCCGGCGGGCTGGGCGGCGGCCCGCCGGCGCTCACCGTCATCGTCGACGAGCTCGAGACGCGGCTGGCCTTCGACGAGGCCGGCGGCGCGCGTCTGGAGGCGCTGGCCGAGCGGGAGGCCACGGCCGCCTTCCTGGTGGTCTACAGCGTGGCGGACGCGGCCAGCTTCAGCGAGGCGGCCGCCCTGCTGCTGCGCCTGTACGGCTGCGGCGCCATGTACCGACACGTCGTCATCCTGGTGGCCAACAAGACGGACGTGGTGCGCTCGCGCGTCGTCTCCACGGCCGAGGGCCGCCACCTGGCCATGGCGCACGGCTGCAAGTTCATCGAGTGCTCGGCCGGCATGAACCACCGCGTCGACGAGCTGCTGGCCGGCCTGGCGTGCCAGCTGCGGCTGCGCGCTGACGGCGCCGGCCGCGCGCCCCACCGGCGCCGCGGCTCGCTCGGTTTCCTCGACAAGCTGCTGCACCGCCACGGCCACTCCAAGTCCTGTCAGAACCTGTTCACGTAGGCGCCCGCGCCTGCGCGCGCTCCTGTTGTCGCCTGTAACGCCGCCGGCGGTGGCCGCCGGCAGCGAGCGCGCGCCCCGTCCGGCGGACCGTGACGGCCGCCGTGTTCGTGTTCGTTTGTCCGTGGCTTCTGGATGACGGCCCGGTCGCGCTGTCCCAGCCGTTATGAATATATTCTGCTACGACGTGTCGACTGGCGACGGGGGCGCGGGTGGCGCGGCGGCAGTGGCCGCTCACTCCGGCAGAGGTCAGCTCGGGGTCGGCCAGAGGCCAGGTCTGAGAGTCACAAGTCAGTCACGAATGGCGGTGCCACACCGAGCCGCCCGCACGGCTCCACTGCACGCCCTGACCAGATCACACCCAGTCGCGCATCCGCGGCCGCGGGATCGTCGTCTCACACGCGAGCAAACAGGACGCTATGGGCGTAAAACGTTTACCAAACACGGTGAACTATCCTTACCGTAACCAGCACGACATTCCATTATCATAAAGCGTGAGCCAAACATGACGCTGAGGGCCACAAAAAGTCGAAAGTGTATCAGGAAGCCGTGATCTTTGATTTTCGGGGTTCGACTTTCAGCGGTGCCCGTCCTTCCTGCTAGGGTGAAAGGCTGGGACGCCATATGGCTTCTCAGCCGAGCGTGTTATAAAGCCCCCGTGCCATGACCACAGAGCCGCCATCCATGGCAACATACTGTAGCCGCCTAATAACTACTAACTAATCGGCCCATTATTCGATGCACATGAGGCTAAGCCGCCAGTTTTGGGTTATAGTTTTTTTTGGAATTCAGCATGCACAGTTCTTGTTTTTACGTAAACTAATAAATTTGCAACTTTCGCTACGATCCATTTCTGCAACACGGAAGCCAAATCCACAAAGCAATTGCACAGTGTACTGTCTTCTGATAACGCACCTGTGCCCAGCCTCTGACAACGCACCTGTACTCAGCCTCTGACAACGCACCTGTGCTCAGCCTCTGACAACGTACATGCTCAATGTAACTGTAAAATATACCAGGTATTCTAAATAGCACATACCTAGACACCAGGAAATATATGCCTTCTTTCAACAGTACATAAACCATACATGCAACAACGACCTCTTCTGCGAATTTCAATCTGCATTCTGTAATTGCAAAATGCGAGAGAAGTGGGCAACCTGCTGATTGCGCGACGGCGGATGAACCTCAATGCCACGCAGCGCACTTGCGACCAAGCAGACACAGAGGCAAGTCCTACAGTAGGCAAGTATGATTATGTGATGCCTTAACACGCGCCCGGGTGGCCGGCTAGATACCCTTCGCTCGGGTGGGCGGGGGGGGGGGGTCAATTTGACCCACTGAGATCTCAGGAACTAAGAAAGCTAAAGACAAAAGGTCACATTCTCATTCAAGACCAGCGACCTTGCTTGACCTTCTGAAGGTCAAGGTGACCAAAATCATACAAGACTGCTTTGAGTTTAGACTACGCGACAAAGATTACGCTAGGCAGTACGTTCCTAAAACAAAATGTTAACCTGGGTCATTTTAGGTCAATGACCTACTATGGCCTCTAATGATTCCATGGAAGATGCATGATGCGGTTCCTGCTATCAATAAACTCAAAATGAGCACCAGAAACTATCCAATACAGCAAGCCCTAGAGTAACAAAACAGGTTGGTTTCAACATTGGTGTGACCTTCATATCTGACCTCAGGTCATTGCAAATTGCTCATTCAACTGTTTTGCTGCCTAAGAAAGCATCTCCGAGATGTATGGCTTCGTCTAACACTCCGTTGTTGAATCAGATAGAACGATTCCGTAGAAATTACACTCGCTGAAACCATGGCCTGACGTTGACCTGCCATAGGTCAGCGACCTTACAAAGTACATCTAAATTCTTGATGCCAAACGATCCGCTATTCAATTGTCCATAGCTGTGCAAAATTTGGCGCGGCTATGCCGCGTCGTTCGGAAACTATTCTAGGAAAAACCTTCGGGGGGTCAATTTGACCCCCACCTGAGCGCGTGTTAGAGCAGCCAAAAAAGCGAAAGCGCCCAGAAGTGGAAGGATGCCTGCGTTACCAGTCTGGCAAAGCGAAAGATACGAACAAGACGCGGACAAAAACGGAGCGAAAGCTTAGAAGCAAACAGCCGGATGCCACGCCAAAGCACACGACTCTTTGACCTCGCGCCGGGCTGATTAGCGGCCAGTGATGCCGTCACGCGACGCCAGCGACGCCTGGCGATGTCACCAATGAACTGGCCTGGTCGGCCGTGGCGAGCGGCCGACCAGGCCAGTTCAGTGTATGCGGTTGCGGATGTACGGCGCATAGTTTTTATATTTACGCATTATCTATTATTCTATATTATATACATTGTTATAATATACCGCTATTATTATATATAGCTATTGTATATATATATATATATATATATATATATATATATATATATATATATATATATTACAGCTATACGCCCACGGAGGCAGAACAAATGATCAATTTGTTAGTATGTACGAGACACAACACAAACTTTTGATCAGGAAATCTGACGCAAGACCTACACGCTATGAATAAAATAACAAGTGTAGACATCAGCACTGTCATTGCGACACCTGAACAAGATCTGCACGCCACCTGGCAACGATGACATATTTTGCCAATGTTGCCAAGCTTTGCATCAGCTTATCAGACAAGCTTGTTCATAAAACACTTAATCGAGCTGAGCCTGGAGTCCCTTCATGACCGATATGATAGATCTTAATTGAATTCATAGGGTAATATTGGTACAAATATAATAAACATATTCCTACCAATAGCGTGAGTGCATCTCACGCGGAGAATAAGCGACTGGGAACTTCAACCTACCATTATGCCCAAGACTGTAAGACTCACAGCCAGTGCAACTGTATGTTGAATCAACTGTATGGCAACTGTATCACAAGCCCGCAATGTGTACTAGCAGGTGCTTAAACAATCATACGGAAACCTACGTCCACGAACATAGCGATAGAATATGCAGGTGCATCACATGGGTTAGGGCTCCTTCACCGAACCTTACCTCAAAAATGCCCATTCCTTTAACACAATGGCAATGGGCCCCGTATGCCACCCACGTCATACACACTTCCCAATGCAAATCGACGAACTTAAAGGCCTGTCTGAGTAATTAATAATATATATACATATATATATATATATATATAATATATATATAATATATATATATATATATATATATAATATAATATATATAAATAATATATATAATAAAAAATAATAATAATAATAACAACACAGTGTATAGTGAGTACAACAAATCACGGCAGCGCTTACCAAACATTATTTTCCCAGCCTAGGCCAGTCCGACCGCCCACCTGCCGCCCGTCACCGGGCTCCCCACCTTGCCTGGGGAACCAACCACCGGCGCCCACCTGCCGCCCGTCACCGGGCTCCCCACCTTGCCTGGGGAACCAACCACCGGCGCCCACCTGCCGCCCGTCACCGGGCTCCCCACCTTGCCTGGGGAACCAACCACCGGCGCCCACCTGCCGCCCGTCACCGGGCTCCCCACCTTGCCTGGGGAACCAACCACCGGCGCCCACCTGCCGCCCGTCACCGGGCTCCCCACCTTGCCTGGGGAACCAACCACCGGCGCCCACCTGCCGCCCGTCACCGGGCTCCCCACCTTGCCTGGGGAACCAACCACCGGCGCCCACCTGCCTCCCGTCACCGGGCTCCCCACCTTGCCTGGGGAACCAACCACCGGTCCTGATCCTTGGGAATTAACTACTCGCAATCCCTATTTGTAAGACCGGTCTTAATTAAATGAGACCTTGAAATGAGATCAAATGAAAAGTTCTTAACTATACCAATGAAGTAACGACAATCATATCACCCGCTTCTTGCTCAGCCACTGGCATAAAAGTATTCGTGTTTAACACGCATCCGGGTGGCCGGTTGGTTGCGACGAACTCGGGTGGGGATGAGGGCATCTGACACCTGAAATTTCAAAACTAAGCGAGGTAATAAGGCATCAAATAAATAACAAAGGCATCAAATTCTCACGATATGTAGGACGCTATGTAAACTCATTTGTATCAAATTCTGAGATGCCAAGGATGGACCTTCGGGTCAAATAAGGTCAAACAAACTCAAACTTCAGACCACTTTCCAAAGTATTCGCCATCCAAACGCAACCTTCTCGCACATCCAATTTCAAACTAGGGCATTTCAGAGGCCGTATTTGACCTTTAGATGATAAGAATGACCAAATCGTTGGAGAACATTTTGATACTTCAATTCGCAACAACATCAAGAACTACCGTAGCGGCATGCTCCTCAAAGAAAACGCTTGATCAAAGCCATTTTAGGTCCGTAGCCTCCTATGACTATCAATTGTCTGATTGGCCCAGAAATCATATCAAAGCTGTGTGAATTCGTCGAAAACTCCGCTGTCGAATCATATTAAAAGATACTCAGGAAACGCTTTCCTCGACAGCCATGTCCGGACTCTGACCCGCTTCAAGTCAGCAGCCTTACAAGGCAGATATCATGTGTTGCACCGAAAGTTTGGCTATTCGCTTGTCTACAGCTAGACAAGGTTGGGTGCGGCTACGCCGCAACGTTGAAAAGTTATTCTGGAAAAAACTTCGGGAAGGCAAATTGACGCTTCCCCCGAGCTCATGATAAGGGGGGAACACAATTGATAACAGCAGGTGTTATAACAGTATTTACACACTACTACGTTCAAATGTTAACACCCTCGAATGGCACTCTCAAGTGGTGCGATTATTGCGCAGTTACGTTACGCTCAGTTCATATCGAGTAATAATAACAAACACATAAGCTGCGACGGAACTGGGCACAGCCCTTTATGCACGTGTTTTGCACGAGGGGCATGTTTCTGCTGCCGCTACAATGCAGTCGATCGCTGGCGGTCAGCGGCAGGGTGTGATGTGGACGACACAGGGCCGGCCGCTCGTGCGTCACGTCCGTCTGCTGCAGCCAGCCGGAGACGTAACCGAACCGGACTAGACCAGATCGGACCGGACCAGATCTAACCAGACCAGGCCAGATCAGACCAGGCCACACCAAACTAGAGCAGACCAGACCAGACCAGACAAGACCAGACAAGACCAGATCAGACCAGAACAAACCTTACCAGATCAGACCAGTTCAGACCTCACCACACCACACTTGACCGGACTGGACCGAACTCGAATGGACTGCGAGACCTGGGCCCGATTAGACCAGACCAGACCAGATCACGCCAGACCACATGAGACCAGACCAAACTTAACTGAGCCAGGCTCCGGCAGACAATGCCAATCCAGGCCGAAACGGTCCAGACCAGACCGGATCAAGCAGTACTGAACCCAAGTGTACTAGACCATGCTGAGCCGTACCATCGGTCCAACAGACCGGAGTTGATTGGCCTGGACCGCCTCACTCCGCGCCACGCCGTCCTCGGCTGTCCTGGCCTCTGGGGGGCCAGTCAAGTCCTGACCCAGGAACCAACGAGACCCAGCGCACGGCCCTGACCAGACCGGACCCGACCGGGTTGGACTGGATCCAGCCGAACGGAGCGGAGCAGACGGCGGCGTCTGCCTGTCCACTGTCCCGCGCCTCCCGAGCGTCCCCATCTGGGGCAGCACGCCGTGGTGGTGTGGCAGGAGGCCTCGTGACCGCCGGCCGAGCTTGACCGGGCGCGCCGCCGAGCCCCCGTGACCAGGCCTTCCGGCGAGCGCCGCGCCCCGTGCCGGTGGCGCCGGTGGCGTGCGGCCGTGTCCGGCGCGGTCGGAGTCCGCCTGAGCGGAGCCCAACGGCCCGGCCCAGAGCCGCCCAGGGCCGCCCGCCACGGCCACGCCCCCTGCCGGTGGCGCCGGTGACGTGTGGCCGTGTTCGGCGCGGTCGGAGTCCGCATGAGCGGAGCCCGACGGCACGGCCCAGAGCCGCCCGGAGCCGCCCGCCACGGCCGCGCCCGGCCTCTGCCATCAGCACTGAACCATGCCGGCGACCGGCGTCCCGCGCCCACATGTGACGCCCTCTTTTGATCCACGCAGCTCGTGAGCGATGGAACTGAGTTGCAATTTATGGTTTTAGAGCGATTTTGAAGGGATTTCGACGTGTTTCTTCAGAGAATAGTTTAATGCAGTGCCGGCTTAGGCAAAACTTCCTTCGCAGCTTCAAGAACTCAAGCAGGATCTGCAAACGTTTACGTCTACGAAATTTGATGGCAAACCGACGACTTGTCGGACGTGCTATGCATACAGAGCTGGTATGCTGGCAGGTACCCTATCCAGCATTACTCATAATCATCGCGTCTTTGGGCCCAGGACGGCTGAAGCGCTAAGTGCAGCCGCCAGCGAGGGCGAGACTGCGCCTTCTCGTCCTCCACGCGTACAAGCAGGTTCTTTCCGCGTGACACCTGCTACTCTTCCTGGACTGTCTGGCGCGTTAAGGCACCTGGGGACATTGAAAGCCAGTGGCGTAGAAGGAATTGCCGTACATTTGATGAGGTTAACATTCGCTGTGATTGCGCCTCACCTGCTGCACGTCGTTAATAGGTCGCTAGTGGTCGGAGACGTACCGGCTGTGTGGAAAACAGCTGATGGCCGGCTGTGTGGAAAACAGCTACCTTGATGCCTTTGCTTAAAATCGACGACCAAATCGGCCGAAATAAGTTTCCACGACTTTTCATCCTATCAGTGATGGAAACCTTTACGAGCGAATGGTCGGTAACCCGCTTGTATCAAACCCATCAAATAACACGTCATATGTCCCGAGCAACGCGACTTTCGCCTTAGTCACTCCACAAAGTCCACCTGTAGAGTAACCGGCCTTCTTTTATTCACTTTGGACAACTCATCATGTATGCTGAAGACGCTCAGTTCATTGACGCAGATGCTCCGGGCAATATTGGCGATCTTAGTGATCGGGTGGAAACAGCCCTTGTTATCACTCTAAATTGGTTTACGCAAAATCCTCTCAAAATTAATCCTCGAAAACTGATCTTCTGAAAGATGGTGGCGAAAAATGAAAAGCCCAGATGGCGGCGAAAACTGAAAAACAGGATCCAAAAAACGTTAAATTTTGCGGTCAAAATTATCAGTGGAGCGAAGAAATCCAAACATGAATCTCCCGCCCTGAAAACGCCCGGATGGCTCAAAATTAGAAACCTTTTGCCCGATGCAGATCGCTCTTGGCAGGCATCATTCAGGCATACTATGTCAATGTACGTAAGCTACACGAAACGGGCCCAAAACGGCCTCGCCAGAAGCAGCGTTCATCTCCCGTCACTGAAGACGGCGAGTTCCGTTTAAGCATGTGGCGCCTACTTGGTCATGCAGCGCCCGCGACCTCCTGATAGATAGCGGCTCGACGCCCTGATAGACTGACTGCGCCTGACGGGCCTACCCAACGACTCGCGTAGTTTAATACCCTGTTCCCGCTCTCTCAGCGCGGCCCATCTACAGCTGCGCCCCAGGCCGGGCCCACGCTCGGGTCACCGCGCCCCATCTCTCTGCATCCGCCGCCGCGTGGGGAGCGTCGCCACCCGGGATCTCGCGGCGGCCGTGGCGCACCGACGACAAACGGGACGCGGCGGGGCCGATGATTGCGTCTGCACTCCACGCGCGCCAGCAGCGTACGGTAATTATCCGAGCTGACGGCGCGCTCATTACGCCACGCGCCGCAGCGATACGCGGACCAAGCGATCCCCAGGCCAACGGCGGTCCGCGGACCAACGGCGGTCCGCGGACCAACGGCGGTCCGCGGGCCAACGGCGGTCCGCGGACGAAGGCCCTCGCGCAAGTAAGCAACGATCCTGAAATTACGGCGATCCTGGACCAGCACATCACCAGGACCAGCGAAGTAGTCTAGACCCAACAATGGTTCCGGACGAACGGTGGCGTTGGACCAACAGTGGTACGAGGATAACCGCCAGTTCCTGGAAGAGAACTCGCACCCACGGGGTGGGCGTCCTTGGGACCTTCGGACGGGTCCCCGAGCGATAACTCTCATCCCCGTAGACACATCCCACGGGGGAGTGGATCTTCGGACGGAGTCTGGATGAGGTCTCGTACCCACGGGACTCATCTTCAGATGAAACCCGCTCCGCAGGGGAATAGAACAGCTAAAGCCTATCCCAACTCACGGAAAACATGCGCATTGCATAGACATTAAGGTGACGCAAACATTGGCTCCAACTGATATTTTGAAACCATCGGTCATGGTCTTCGAAACCAAGGCAGGTCAAATCAGCGGAGTTAGTTACAAACGACATGTATAAACAGTGGTATAAGCCTTTGGCTTGGGCAGACAGAAGACCACCCATTATGCAGAAGAAACATAACTGGCACTCTCGAATACTCTCGCAGCATAACCGCCTTGGGCAGAGTTATCCGGAGCATTCCGAGCACGGCCAGCCACTACTCCAGAGCCTTTGCGCCGTGTCCACTTAAGAGTCTCGCAGCATAACCGCCCTGGGCAGAGTTATCCGGAGTATTCTGAGCACGGCCAGCCACTACTCCAGAGCCTTCGCGCCGTGTCCACTATCCTAGAGCCCGTGGCCACTGTTCTAGGGCCCGAGTCCATTGCCATAAAATCCGTGTCCATCGCTCTAGAGCCCGTGTCTACTGTGCTAGAGCCCGTGCCTACCGTCCTAGAGCCCGTGTCCACTGTTCTAGGGCCCGAGTCCGCTGCCATAAAATCCGTGTCCACCGTTCTAAAGCCCGTGTCCACTGTCATGGAGCCCGTGTCCACTGAGCTAGAGCCCGTGTCCACTGTGCTAGAGCCCGTGTCCACTGTTCTCGAGTCCATGTCCACTGCGCTACAGCCTGTGTCCGATGTCCTGGAGCCCGTGTCCGCTGTCGGTGAGCCTGTGTCTTCCTCTGGTTGAGCCTCCGGCTCGTGTCACTGCCCAGGTTGTCTCGAGGCCAGGCGGCTCATAAAGTCGGTGGGCGCGCGCGCCCCTGATTGACCGCTAACTCCCACGGATTACCGGCCATCTTTGATGACGTCGCAATCTACTAATACGAAAGCCCCGAGCCCGAGCCTTGCTGAGTGGCTGGTACGACCGCTGCCAGCAGTGGCGGCGTCGAGCATCAGGCTAGTCCATCGTCACAGCATGCCGCGCCAACACTGGTCATGACTGCAACTGTGAAAACGAAGCACATCAAACCTGTCATAAGGATAATTAATTAAAAGTTCGTTTTTCATCCTTTGCTGTCGGCATAGGGGCTTGAGGACGAACTCAGCTGCCGATCCTATATGCTATACTGGCTACAGTATACGGAGGCTGTATGTACTATTCTGGCTATAGTATACTGAGGCTTTATACTACTGCCACTTTAATATACTAGGGCTAGGTACTACACTGATTTTTGGCGCTCTACACTTCTGCACAGCGGAATGGTTAACAGTTCCCCAGGGGCGACGAGTTTTGACGGCCATCGCCTCCCCCTCCTCCCAGCGCGGAGGGTGGGCACCGTGGCGAATCGAATGCTGTAGGTGCCCACCGTAGTCGACGTCGTGTCAAAGTGGCTACAAAATCACGCTCGCTCTCAGTGTGAACTGCAGTGTTTCGACCACGGACATATGTCCGCAGTGTCTCAGCTCGGCCCATGTGCTTCCGGACGCAATCTCGGACATGGTAACTACCAGACCACTTCAGGCCACGGCGGGGCCTCCAAAACGCACGGACACCGGAATCACTCTCACAACGTGCCAGCCGCGCACGTTCGCAAGAGAGCAGAGGGGGCCGCCAACGGCCCCACCGGGCTTACACTGCGCTGCCAGCCGCGTGCTTGTTGCGCCAGCGCGCTGATCGTGCCGACAGTCGTCCCCGGCGCAGCGGGCTGGCGGATGGGCCGTCCCCGGCACAGACGGCACGTCTCCACCCCGAGACGTGCCGTCTCCTCCGGCCGCTGGAACCGGCCGCCACTGGCAGACGTGCCGGCCCCGCTCGAAATAGGCGCCGCACGCGCCGGGGGCATCCATCGCCGCGGTCCATCGCAGCCACGCTTTGACGCCCAGAGCGCGGCCAAATCATGAATTTATCGACGGTAATTAATTTGTTGTGCCCCGGCATTCCAGCACGCGACGCCAGGCCTGAGCTGCGTAGGTGCTTGGGCTTGACTCGCAACCACTGTTGTGTATTACCTGCCAATGATCGGGTTATGTAATGGGTTGAAACGCCAGCGGCCAGGCCGCTCCCGCAAGATACATACTTAGATTTAAAGTAGTCCGCGGAAGGTGAAGGAGTTAATTCGTTGAGTGGACATCTTGTCAAGTTTCCGCTCGATCGTCTAATTCACGCACTAATGTCAGTTTGGTGATTACCTTGCAAGTCACGTAGCATGCTTGGGCAAGGACGCGATCTCTCACGAGGGTGGCACCAGGGAGGGCGACGAAACACGAGCTGGTAGCGACGCCGGAACTCACGACACGCCGCGCAGCCCCAGGGTGAGCGCTTCAGCCAGCCGTCGTCGTCGTCATTGGGGCTTTACGACGCACTCAGCTGCTGAAGCTACATGGCGTCACCTTCCTTTCACCCTGGCAGGACGAACGGGCACCGCGGAGAATCGAACCCCGCACATATCTGGTTTCCCAGACACGCAGTGGTTAGCGCGGTCCAGCCAGC